TGGGGCTTGGTTTGGGATGCAATGGAGCTCAGCCCATGGCTCACATCACCCAATGGGGCTTGGGATCCAATGGGGATCCGGATGGGGAGCCAGTAGAGCTTGGATTGGTATCCAATGGGGATCAGGATGGGGATCCAATGGAGATCAGGATTGGAATCCAGTGGGGCTTGGATTGGTATCCAATGGAACTCAGGATTGGGATCCAATGGGGATCAGGATGGGGATCCAGTAGGGCTTGGGATCCAGTGGGGCTTGGTTTATGATGCACTGGGGCTCAGCCCATGGCTCACATTATCCAATAGGGCTTGGACGCGATGGGGACTGGGATCCAGTGGGGATTGGGATCCAATGGGACTTGGGACTGGGATCCAGTGGGGCTTGGACTGGGGCCAGTGGTTCTTTTCTGCACTGATGCTCTGGATGAGGGGATGGAGGGCACCCAAGCGACACCAAGTTGGGTGGGAGTGGGGAGCTACACCACCATGGGGCACCCAGCACCACCATGGACACCCAGCACCACCATGGGGCACCCAGCACCACCATGGGACACCCAGCACCACCATGGGGCACCCAGCACCACCACGAACACCCAGCACCACCATGGGGCACCCAGCACCACCATGGGACACCCAGCACCACCACAAACACCCAGCACCACCATGGGACACCCAGCACCACCACAAACACCCAGCACCACCACGGGACACCCAGCACCACCATGGGGCACCCAGCACCACCACGAACACCCAGCACCACCATGGGGCACCCAGCACCACCACGGACACCCAGCACCACCACGAACACCCAGCACCACCACGGGGCACCCAGCACCACCGTGGACACCCAGCACCACCATGGGACTCCCATTGCCCCCCCCCCCCCCGGCACACCCGACCTCACACCCATCGCCGGATGCAGTGAGCTGGGTGCTGGTGGGTGCTGATAGCACCCAGCTCTTCCTGCATGGGCAGGAATGGCATCGATAAACCCTGGGACAGGGACACCCTGGGGACAGGGACACTATGGGCTACGCTATGGGGAAACCATGGGGACAGGGACACTATGGGCTATGCTATGGGGACACCATGGGGACAGGGACACCATGGGCTATGCTATGGGGACACCATGGGGACAGGGACACCATGGGCTATGCTATGGGGACACCCTGGGGACAGGGACACCATGGGGACAGGGACACCATGGGCTATGCTATGGGGACACCATGGGGACAGGGACACCATGGGCTATGCTATGGGGACACCATGGGGACAGGGACACCATGGGCTATGCTATGGGGACACCCTGGGGACGGGGACACCCTGGGGACAGGGACACCATGGGCTATGCTATGGGGACACCCTGGGGACGGGGACACCCTGGGGACAGGGACACCATGGGCTATGCTATGGGGACACCATGGGGACAGGGACACCCTGGCCAATGCCATGGGTGCATCCTGATTACGGGGACACCGGGGCCTTCACCAGCACCCATGGTGCTGACCCAAGCTTTCGGGTCCTGGGGGGCCCCTTTGAGGCCCATCCTTGGGGTGAGGGCACATCCGGACACACCCCACACCCCCCAGCACCACTTCCCACAGGGTTTATCAGTGGGGACACTCACTGGGGACACCACAGGGACCATGTATGGCAACGTGGAGCCCAGCCAGGGGAAAAAGTGGGTGCCAGGACCCGGTCATGGGGAAGGTAGGGAGCACCCTTGGGTGCTGGGTGGGTTGGGGTGGGGGGCAGGTGGGAGCCCAGCAGCCTCATTGTCCTTAATGGACATCCCAATGTCCTTTTGGGGTCTCACTTTGTCCCCTTGAGGGGGGTGGTGGCACCAAAGCAAGGTCCCCATCTCCATCCCTGGTACCCAATGGGTGTCCTTGGGGTACCCAAAGAGGAATCCTCAAGAGGGGTCCCCAGGAGGGGTGGTGGCAAAAAAGGGGACACCCCCCCCCCCCATTTCCACCCTTGGGGTGTCCCCATCTCCATACCTGGTGTCCAAGGAGGCTGTCCACGATGGGGGGGGGTGGGGGTGTGTTGGTGGCCCCCAGTGTCCAAGGAGGTGAATGGTGGCACCGATGGAGACCCCAAATCCCACCCTTGGAGCATCCTCATACTCCAGGGGATGCTGGTGGCACTGGTTAGGGGATGACCCCCCAGCTGCCCCACAGCACCTTGTGCCCCACAGAGGAGAACCCCTACGAGCCCCTGGACCCCCCTGAGGTCACCCCAAGCCAGAAGCATGTGCCAGAGGCAGCATGGACAAGGGCAGAGCCATCGTCGCCTCGTCCCCTATCCCCAGCTCCATCCAAGGGCTGCTCCAAAGCGAAGCTGGTGCTGGTGGCCACAGTGGCCCTGGGGGTCTCGGTGCTGATGAACATCCTCTTCCTCACCATCGGCTCACGGCACAGTGAGTAGAGATGGTCCATGGGCATTGGGGAGCTCCATAGGAATCATGGAATGGGTTGGGTTGGAAGGGAGCTTAAGGTCAGGCTGCCATGGGCAAGGACACCACTCCATCCTGGCCTTGGACACTGCAAGGGATGGGGCATCCAATCCTGCTCCCACCACCCTCATGGGGAAGAACTTCCTATTATTGGGAATGGCTATGATTGGGGTCTCTGGAGGGGTGCTGGGTGCTCAGCACCCCTCCACACCAGGCCTGCTGTGGCTGTGGCCACAGGGTGACCATGTCCCTGTGCCCCCATCAGTTGCAGCCCTGACGGCGGAGCTGGAGGCAGTGAAGGCGAAGGCGATGCCCAATGTGGGTGCGTGTCCATGGGATGTGTGTCCCCCCCTTGCCTTCCTTCTCCATGGATGCATGCTCAATCCCTGTGTATCATGGATTCATGGAATGGTTTTGGTTGGAAAAGACCTTAAGATCATCCAGTTCCAACCTGGCAGGGACACCTTCCACAAGAGCAGCTTGTTCCAAGCCCTGTGTCCAACCTGGCCTTGAACAGGGATGGGGCATCCAAACCTTCTCCATCCAACCCATCCCAGTGTCCCACCACCCTCATGGGGAAGAACTTCCTTATCTCCAAGCTGAACTTCCCTGTTCCACTTGGAACCCATCACCCCTTGTCCTACCCCTGATGAAGCTCCCTCTCCACATCCTTGGAGTCCCCTTCAAACCCATGGAGCTCCTCCAGCCCCAGTGTCCTCAGCCTGGCTCCATGTGGGATCCTCCTCTGCCCTTGCTCCTTGAGGACACCAGAGCCGGATGCAGAATCCCAGTGGGATCCCCCCCCCCCACCCCACAAGCAAAGGGGCAGGATCCATTCCTTGGACCCCCTCTTACCTTCCCAGCCTCCCGTTCCTTCCTGCTCTACAACGAAAACCACCGCAAGTGCATCGAGGCCGACGGGCACCAGTTGACGGCGACCGCGTGCCGGCCCGCTGCCGCTTCCCAACACTTCCAATGGCTCCAAGGGGGGCGGCTGTGGGGCTGGCAGAGCCAGCGCTGCGTCACGGCCACCCGGGACCAAACCCTGGCCTTGGTGAGGCTGGAGCCGTGCCGGGATGAGGATAAGCTGCAGCGTTGGGAATGCCGGGATGGAGGGCTGTTGGCGCTGGCCGGATACGAGCTCTACTTCAACTTTGGCAACAACCAGCAGCGCATGGTGACGCTCTACACCGGGGACGGGCCGTGGAGCCGCTGGGTGGTCCATGGGAGCAAGGAGGACGTCTGCTCCCGCTCCTGTAGGTCCCAGCATCCTTCATCCCACGGATAACCCTAAACCGGCAGGGATATGGTTTAAGAGCTGAACTCCGGCTGCAGCAGGGCGCTGGACCGGAGCTGACCCTTCTAGGGTGGCCTAACCTAATCTAAACCAAGGCCAAACCCTAATGGGGGTTTTAACCTAATCCTAACTCGGTTAGAACCCAAAATAGATAGGATTTAACCTAATTCTAACCCAGTTTAAACCCTAAATAGGATTTAACCCAATACTAAACCAGTTTAAACCCTAAATAGGATTTAACCAAATCCTAAACCAGTTTAAACCCTAAATAGAATTTAACCTAATCCTAACCCAGCTAGAACCCTAAATAGATGGGATTTAACCTAATCCTAACCCAGTTATAACCCTAAACAGATAGGATTTAACCTAATTCTAACCCAGTTTAAACCCTAAATAGGATTTAACCCAATCCTAACCCAGTTTAAACCCTAAAATAGTATTTAACCCAATCCTAAATCAGTTTAAACCCTAAATAGGATTTAACCCAATCCTAACCCAGTTTAAACCCTAAATATGATTAACCTAATCCTAACCGGGCTAGAACCCTAAATAGATGGGATTTAACCTAATCCTAACCCAGTTAGAACCCTAAATAGATAGGATTTAACCCAATCCTAACCCAATTTAAACCCTAAATAGGATTTAACCCAATCCTAACCCAGTTTAAACCGTAAATAGGATTTAACCTAATCCTAAACCAGCTAGAACCCAAAAGAGATGGAATTTAACGTAATCTTAACCCGGTTAGAACCCTAAATAGGATTTAACCTAACCCTAACCCAGTTTAAACCCTAAATAGGATTTAACCTAATCCTAACCCAGTTAGAACCCTAAATAGACAGGATTTAACCTAATACTAACCCAGCTAGAACCCTAAAGAGGTAAGAGTTAACCTAATCCTAACCCAGTCAGAACCCTAGATAGGATTTAACCTAATCCTAACCCAGTCAGAACCCTAGATAGGATTTAACCTAATCCTAACCCAGTTAGAACCCCAAATAGGATTTAACCTAATCCTAACCCACTTTAAACCCTAAATAGATAGGATTTAACCTCATCCTAACCCACTTTAAACCTTCATGGGACCCCAAGCCAGTCCTAAACCTTAATCTATAGGATTTAACCCAAAGCCCAGCAGGGCTCTAACCCAGCTCAGGGTTGTGTCCCTGGCCAGGGCTGCGTTCTGGGCTCTTGCAGCGCCCTTTGTGGGGGGGTGACCCCACTTTTCTGTGCCCCCCGCTCCCCCCTTCCTGCAGGCTGTCCCCCTTGCTCCAAAGGCTGGCTCCACTTCCGGAATTCCTGCTATTTGTACTCCAAGACAGCAGCTTCCTGGGAGAACGCCCGGCGCTTCTGCTCGCTCCTGGGGGCTCAGCTCCTGGAGGTGGATGGGCCTGAGGAGAAGGTGAGGGGCACAGCCAGGAACGGGGGGATTGGGAAGGGGCAGGGAAGCCTCAGGTGAAGCCCTACAATGAACCCTATGATGGGTTTGGGGTGATCTCACCTTAAGCTCTACCTAAACTTTCCACCCTAGGGCCTACAATTAAGCCCAACCTCGTTCCTAATGGAGCCATCGCCCTAGAACTGACCCAAATCCAGCTGAAACCTCTTCCTAATCCACCTCTAACCTTAAAGCCCTAAACCTAAGCCTAATCCTAATCATAAACCTAAACCTACCCCTAAGCCTGACCTTAACCCTGTCCCCAATCACAACCCCAACCTCATTATCCAGAACTGTAATCCTGTCCTAAACCTAACTCTACCTGTACTCATAGGATTTGACCTAACCCTAAGCTAGCCCAAACCCCAACAGGGCCTTACCCCAGCCCCAACCCTGCCTATATAGGATTTAAGACAACCCTAAACTAGTCCATACCTGAATGAGGATCTAGCCTAGCCCTAACCCCAAATACATAGGATTTAAGACACCCCTAAGGTAGTCCAGAACCAAAAGATGCTCTAACTCAGCCTTAACCCCAAATACATAGGACTTAAGACAACCCTGAGCTAGTCCAGACACCAGTGAGGCTCTAGCCTAGCCCTAATCCCTAATACACAGGATTTAAGATAACCTTAAGATCTTCCAGACCCCAATGAGGCTCTAGCCCAGCCCTACCCCTGCCTATATAGGACTTAAGACAACCCTGAGCTAGTCCAGAAACAAAAGAGGCTCTAACTCAGTCCTAACCCCAAATACACAGGACTTAAGATAACCTTAAGATACTCCAGACCCCAATGAGGCCCTAGCCTAGCCCTAATCCCAAATACACAGGACTTAAGCTAACCCTAAGATCCTTCAAACCCCAATGAGGCTCTAGCCCAGCCCTAACCCTGCCTATATAGGACTTAAGACAACTCTAAACTAGTCCAGACCCCAATGAGGCTCTAGCCTAGGCCTAACCCCAAAGTCCCATAGGACTTAAACTAACCCAAAGATCCTCCATGAGGCTCTAACTCAGCCCTAACCCTAAAGACATAGGATTTAAGACAACCCTAAGATCCTTCAGACCCCAATGAGGCTCTAACTCAGCCCTAACCCTAAATATATAGGACTTAAGCTAACCCTAAGATCCTCCATGAGGTTCTAACTCAGCCCTAGCCCTGATTATATAGGACTTAAACCAGTCCTAGGATAGCCTAGACCCCAATGAGACCCCCCCACCGCAGGGCAGAGGCTGTGCCAGTGCTGAGGGCTGTTATGGCATCAGGTCCTACCCGGTGTCCCCCTGCTGTCCCCAAGGGCTTTTGGGGGGGCTGTGCCATGGGGTGACGCCGCCTTTGCCCCTAGGATCACATCCGGACCATGCTGCAAAGCTCCTCCTGGCTCGGCATCCGGGATGAAGAGGTGGAAGGGGCCTGGAAGCGAGCCAATGGGTCCATTTTATCCTGGGAAAGCAGGTAGAGCCCTATGGGTGCTGGGAACAAGGGGATGGGGGTTTTGGGGGGGGGAGGGGGGGCAGGGACACCCCTAAAATGCCCTGATCCCTTTTGTCACAGCTCTTGGCACAGGAGCGAGCCCAATGGTGGGCGCCAGGAGAACTGTGCAGCAGTGAGGGAGGATGCTCTGTGGTACGATTACCCCTGCACCAGCCAGCTCCCATGGGTGTGTGAAGGGCAACCCTAAAGGGGGCACCCCAAAAACATCCCCACCCCCCCACCCTCCAGCACCCCCTCAGTGATGAGGGGCTCCCATTGACACCCCTCTGCTTGCCACGTCCGACCTGCAGCGCTCCGGGTGCAGTCGCCGCCTGCCAGCGCATCCCTTTGGGATGCAGGGATGGATCTAGAGGGAAAAGGGGGGTTCAGGGTGAGATTTGGGGGGGGGGGGGGGGGTTGTCCCTGCGGAGCAATAAAAACATGTGAAGAGTGAGGACCTGCTCTGGGCATGGGGGGCACCCATGGTGGGGGGTGAAGGTGGGAGGGGGGGGTTGGGGGGCCCTTGGGGGTAGCACTGGGTGCTCATGATACCCCCCCAAATACACCTCAGAGCTCCACAGATACCTCCCAGAGACCCCTAAATCCCCACCCCAGACCACCAAATATCCCCTTGAGCACCCTAAATACCCCCCAAATACCCCACTGAGCCCCCCAAATGCCCCCCCCCAGACCCCCAAATACTTCTTAGGTCCCCAAAACACTCCATTGAGCACTCTACCCCTCCCCCAGATTCCTAAATACTCCCCAGCTCCCCAAAATACCCTTAAATTCCCCCCAAAGACACCTAAATCCCCTCCCACCCCCCAAATACCCCCCCCCATGTCCCCCCAAACACTCCATTGAGGCCCCTAAATCCCCCCCAGGCACCACTTACCCCCCCACCCCCTCAAATACCCCCCTAAGCCCTCTAAATACCCCCCGGACCCCTAAATACCCCTTAGGTCCCCCCAAACACCCCCTTGAACACCCTAAATACCCCCCAGACCCCAAATACCCCCCCAGGCTCCCCCAAACACCCCACTGAGCCCTTTAAATATCCCACAGATCCCCCCAAATACCCCTTTGAGCCCCCTAAATGCCCCCCTGCACCCCTAAATACCCCCCCAAATACCCCTTTGAGCCCCCTAAATCCCCCCTGGAACCCCAAACACCCCTTAGGTCCCCTCAAATTGAGCCCCCTCCCCCCCTCCCCAGACACCATTTACCCCCCCTCCAACCTCCCCAAATACCTCCTTGAGCCCCATAAATGCCTCCCAGACCCCCAAATACCTCTCCCCCCATGTCCCCCCAAACACTCCATTGAGCCCCCTAAATCTCCCCCAGGCACCATTTACCCCCCCGATCCCCCCAAATACCCCCTTAAGTCCCCTAAATACCACCCAGACCCCAAACAGCCCCCCCAGGCTCCCCCAAACACCATATTGAGCCCCCTAAATAGCTCACAGATCCCCGCAAATACCCCTTTGAGCCCCCAAAATCTCCCCCTGGACCGCCAAATACCCCTTAGGTCCCCTCAAATTGAGCCCCCTAAATCCCCCCCCAGGCACCATTTACCCCCCCTTCCCAATTACCCCTTTGAACCCCATAAATGCCCCCCCAGACCCCCAAATACCCCCCAAGTCTCCCTAAATACCCCCTTGCACCCTCTAAAACCCCTTTTTTTACCCCTAAACCCCCTCTTTTTACCCAAAATACCCCTTTAAACCCCCTAAATCCCCCCAAATATCCATTTGAACCCCCTAACCTCCCCCCTAGACCCCCAAATACCCCTTAGGTCCCCCCAAATTGAGCCCCCTAAATCCCCCCCCAAGCACCATTTACCCCCCCTTCCCAATTACCCCTTTGAGCCCCATAAATGCCCCCCAGACCCCCAAATACCCCCAAGTCTCCCTAAATACCCCCTTGCACCCCCTAAAACCCCTCTTTTTACCCCTAAACCCCCTCTTTTTGCCCAAAATACCCCTTTAAACCCCCTAAATCCCCCCAAATACCCATTTGAACCCCCTAACCCCCCCCCTAGACCCCCAAATACCCCTTAGGTCCCCTCAAATTGAGCCCCCTAAATCCCCCCCCAGGCACCATTTACCCCCCCCTCCCAATTACCCCCTTGAGCCCCATAAATGCCCCCCCAGACCCCCAAATACCCCCCAGGTCTCCCTAAATACCCCCTTGCACCCCCTAAAACCCCTCTTTTTACCCCTAAACCCCCTCTTTTTACCCAAAATACCCCTTTAAACCCCCTAAATCCCCCCTTGGCATCCCAAATACCCCTTGGAACCCCCTAAACTCCCCCCAGACCCCAAAATACCCCTTAGGTCCCCTCAAATTGAGCCCCCTAACCCCCCCCCAGGCACAATTTACCCCCCCCTTCCCAATTACCCCTTTGAGCCCCATAAATGCCCCCCCAGACCCCCAAATACCCCCCAGGTCTCCCTAAATACCCCCTTGCACCCCCTAAAACCCCTCTTTTTACCCCTAAACCCCCTCTTTTTACCCAAAATACCCCTTTAAACCCCCTAAATCCCCCCTTGGCATCCCAAATACCCCTTGGAACCCCCTAAACTCCCCCCAGACCCCAAAATACCCCTTAGGTCCCCTCAAATTGAGCCCCCTAACCCCCCCCCAGGCACAATTTACCCCCCCCTTCCCAATTACCCCTTTGAGCCCCATAAATGCCCCCCAGACCCCCAAATACCCCCCAAGTCTCCCTAAATACCCCCTTGCACCCCCCAAAACCCCTCTTTTTACCCCTAAACCCCCTCTTTTTGCCCAAAATACCCCTTTAAACCCCCTAAATACCCATTTGAACCCCTAACCCCCCCCTAGACCCCCAAATACCCCTTAGGTCCCCTCAAATTGAGCCCCCTAAATCCCCCACCAAGCACCATTTACCCCCCCTTCCCAATTACCCCTTTGAGCCCCATAAATGCCCCCCAGACCCCCAAATACCCCCAAGTCTCCCAAAACCCCCTTGCACCCCCTAAAACCCCTCTTTTTACCCCTAAACCCCCTCTTTTTACCCAAAATACCCCTTTAAACCCCCTAAATCCCCCCAAATGCCCCTTGGAACCCCCTAACCCCCCCCCCCCAGACCCCAAAATACCCCTTAGGTCCCCTCAAATTGAACCCCCTAACCCCCCCCCATGCACAATTTACCCCCCCCTTCCCAATTACCCCTTTGAGCCCCATAAATGCCCCCCAGTCCCCCAAATACCCCCCAAGTCTCCCTAAAAACCCCCTTAAACCCCTCTTTTTACCCAAAATACCCCTTTAAACCACCTAAATCCCCCCCCCCCCCCTCCCCTCACCTCAGGCCGCGGGCCAGGCCCCAGCCGCTCCCGTGTGCATCGGGGGGGGGGGGGGTCCCCCGATGTCAATGGGGTTCTATGGGGGGGGGGGGGGTCTATGGGGGGGGGGGGTCTATGGGGTTCTATGACGGGGGGGTTCCCCCGGTTCCGGACTACAGCTCCCGGCAGCGCCTCGGGACCGCAGCAGGGCCGGGATCATGGCGGAGCCGGCGCTGAGGGCCCCGGCGCGCTGAGGGGAACGGGCGGGCCCAAGGGGTCCAGGACCGGTTCAAAGGGGTCCGGGGAAGGGTTAAAGGGGTCCGGGGAAGGGTTAAAGGGGTCCGGGGAAGGGTTAAAGGGGTCTGGGGAAGGGTTAAAGGGGTCCGGAGCTGGGGGTTGAAGGGGAGCCGGGCAGGGCGATGGCGGAGCCGCTGCTGAGGAGAACGTTCTCCCGCCTGAGGGGCCGCGATCGGCCCAGAGGGAAGAAACCGGACGGGAAGGAGCGAGGTAGGGGCAGAACGGACGGGGACCCCCCCGTTAGCACCACTGGGGGGGGGGGTCGGCACCCCAAAGGAACGGGGGACACCCCACCCCACCCTCCCCCAGCACCTTTGGGTCCTTTCTGCATCCCAAGGGGAAAGGGAACCCCCTAAGGAAGGGACCCCCCCCCCCCATCACTTTGGGGTCCCTTCTGCAGCCCACATAAAGGGACCCCTTATAGGAAGGGACCCCCGTTACTTTGGGGTCCCTTCTGCACCAAAAGAGGAACAGGGACCCCCCCAGCATCACTTTGGGGTCCCTTCTGCACCCCACATAAAGGGACCCCCCTATAGGAAGGGACCCCCATCCCTTTGGGTTCCCTTCTGCACCCCACATAAAGGGTCGCCCCCTATAGGAAGGGACCCCCCCCATCACTTTGGGGTTCCTTCTGCACCCCACATAAAGGGTCGCCCCCTATAAGAAGGGACCCCCCCAGCATCACTTTGGGGTCCCATCTGCATCCCAAAAGGAAGGAGGAGCCCCTAAGGAAGGGATCCTCCCTATCACTTTGGGGTCCCTTCTGCACCCCACATAAAGGGACCCCCTATAGGAAGGGACCCCCATTACTTTGGGGTCCCTTCTGCACCCAAAGAGGAACAGGGACCCCTTTAAGGAAGGGACCCCCCCCATCACTTTGGGGTCCCTTCTGCACCCCACATAAAGGGACCCCCCTAAGGAAGGGACCCTCCCAGCATCACTTTGGGGTCCCTTCTGCACCCCACATAAAGGGTCGCCCCCTATAGGAAGGGACCCCCCCCATCACTCTGGGGTCCCGTCTGCACCCCACATAAAGGGATCCCCCCTAAGGAAGGGACCCCC